TGAGATTTTTAATATCACTCCGTTCCTGGTATATTTGCATAAATATCTCTAGCTTAAAAAATAGGGATCGTATATAATAACCCGGTATATATTTTTCCGATTATAACATATATACGGTATATAAGATGAATTTATATGTAATATGGTATCGAAGAAACCTTTACGTCAGACCAAAGCGAAGAAAATTTTCTCACATATTGAAAAGTAAATAAATGATTATAAATCATTTAAGCTACCATTATAGAGACTTGTCCCAGACAATATTTAAAAAGTTCTGAGAGTGGAATTGAACATAAAAATTATTATGTAAAATAGTTGACAATAAAACATATTTATTATGCTAATAATTCGAAAGATACAAATTTGAATAACCAAAATTGATATTTACAGTATATGTTTAACAAAAAAGTAAAAATGCAAAGTTACCATTTTTCTAATATTATAAGAAAATGTGCTACCATCTTCCAATTGTTTCTGCAAAAATCAGACGTAGTGTAAATAGGATTCCTTATATTTATTTGTATAAGTCATATGTCTTTGATTTAAATATTTGACAGAATGCCAAGTTTACAAATCGGCGGATTTCTAATGAACCCTAAAATTATTATGTATTAACCGATTGGTTGGGATGGGACATTCACGAGACTCATTAATAATAGATTATACTATAATATGTATGATATACATTAGCGTTAGATTAAATTTAGCCACGTAGGTTGTAAAAGTGCGGATTCGGTCACCAGTTCTCATAACCTAAATCACAACAAAGATTAGGCTATTCGAAAGAGGGCGTGGAGGATTTGGTCCGAGGACTAAGGATCCTACTGCCATTAGGATCCTCGGATTAGGTAGTCTTTATTATGATTATTGGACCTTTTTTTTGGTCATTACAACTGATAAAATCTAATCAAAGATCCCTTAAATTATAAATACTAGACAGTCAATTGACGTGTACGTCACTAGAAAGTCAAGAACTCGCGTCTAACCGATTGCCCCATCCTTCAACCGATTACTTTTTCATTAATTAAATCAACAATAAATCACCCATTGTGCAGATTTAATTACACTGATCTCGATATGCGATATATCTGTCAAATAAAAATCTAACCACAACCGATCGGGAAATACCCTTTAAATTTTTGGGTACAAACAAAATGAGCACAGACGATGACAATGACTTTAGTTCCCACCATGTGAATACCAACGACGCCATACTATTGTTCTCAATGGAGCATCGCCTCAAGCCAAACCCGAATTAGCATTATTAAATGCCTTCGCTTTGTCGATCAATCCGCATTTCGGGTCCCGAGTTATGTGGCTTGAATCACGTTTTCATAACTGCGGCTAGGTCATATTACCCCGTTACAACGTACATATGAAAAAAAGTCATTAGTTGGATAGTGCTAGACGTGAATTTTTACATTAGATTCTTGATTTTGGGGTACTTTGTAGAACAGACTATTCAGTTGACTATCACTATCGTTACCTATGCAATCATCATTTAAGGGACCGTTACTGCTGATTTGACTATTATGTATCAGATCTGGGACTGGCAAAAACATTATTTTGTCATGAAAGAACCCATATGAATTATATCAATTAAAACTAACATCCGCAAAATCAAATTATATGGATTGAAAATTACAATAAAATCATTTAGAAAAAAAAATTTCATCAAAATACAACAAAACGTAATTAGCGTCTTCTTTTTACAGAGACACTAAATGTCCCACTTGCACTGAATGTCCCATCATCGTCAAGGCACAATGTGCCATCCACACTTTCGAAATCTATGGTTTCGTTCGTTTCACGACTTTTTTTCTCCTCGATCATATTACGCATCAAAGTGTCCTTGTTACATAATTTCACTTTTATGTTTTCCTCCATTATTTCCTCGACCACCTGATTGCTATACATGGTGTTTGTTACAATGAAACCTACAATATCACTTTCGATCTCACTCATCTTGTCGATGAAAGTTTGGACGTCTCGCATGTTGATCATTTGATTCTGGTTTTTCCATTTCACCTTAATGATAAACTTAAGCACATCGAAATCGCCATAGATCAGATTATCTTCGGAGACAACATAATTAATACCATGTTTGTCAAGAATATCTGTAACTAGCTTCAAAAGATTGCTGGTAGCCAAACTAAAAAAAAAAAATAGGTAAATAAATTATCATGTTGGAAATGAAATAAAAGTAACTAATGCTTACTTTTCTGATGCATAATATCGGGAGTAATAATCGGAAGATTTTGTGCCATTGAAATATCTATTATGATGTTAGTTAGTAGTTAGTTATAATAATGGTTGTGTAATTTAGTATCAGTTATTTATAAAGTCAACACATAGTTACAAGATTTTTTTGTTTCTTTCAGCTTACGAAAAATATTTTTGATTCCTTGCAAATTAATGCAAACTGAAAAATACTGTGTGAATTTTTTTTTGGTGGCTCCTTAAATCGCTTTGCTGCGTGAACTTATATAGTAATAACCAGGGACCCAGAATTCATAAAAGGGAGGTCTTCAAAATTCTGGATCGAATCATACTCCGAATTCTGCTAGTGGTTTACTAAAATGGGGATGCGTCTTTTTTAGCCTTTTGATTAATTATATGGTCTTTTTTAGAGAATAATTTAGCTATTTCACTGTATCCAATCGGTAACTCTTTACCATCAATAAAACTAACTGAATAATTATTGTTAATTTTGTTCATAATTAATAATGAGGTGACACTGCATAGACTATTAGCCTCTTTAAAATCTTTAAATGAGTATAGCGATGATTTATCAGTAGATTCAAGTGTGGTAGGAATAGGGAAAAGCCTCTTGTGTGATAATTTTTGGTCATCTTCTATACTTGAATCATTATCTGATTCAATAATATTCGTTTGTAATTTGAATCCTAAATTAAATGAAGAATTTTAAAAGTTTATTAATAATACAAATCATTTAATTAAAGTTATTTTGAAAATATTTATCTTACTAGTAAGTTACCAGCAAATCAACAAAAAGTTTAGGTCATATAAAAATCGTAATAAAAAAGCTTAACTATAAATATAATCTATGAATTAAAATATAATTTATTTTTCATCATACTCTTATCCTTACCTTTACTCTTATTTAACCACGACTAGTGTTATGAATTGGTACAAAAAATGTAATCGATTAGTTGGTTAAAAAATCAATTAAAAATTGATTAGTTAATTGATATATTTTAATATTTCAAAAATTTGAATTTTAAACTAACTTAATAATATTAATGAGTATAAATCTAATAAAAACATAAAAACAACTAATCGATTAATTGATTAGTGGTTAATCGATTAATCAATTAGTTGGTTAATCGATTAAGGCCACGATAATTAGCTTTAAACAATACAGTTTATAATAAAGTTTAATAATACAGTTTAATAATACAGTTTAATAATACAGTTTAATAATACAGTTTAATAATACAGCTTATAATACAGTTTAATAATATAGTTTAATAATACAGTTTATAATATAGTTTCATAATACGTACAGTTTAATAATACAGGTTAGTTTAATTGGGTTAAAATTATTAATCGATTAGTTGCCAATTCAGCCACGATTAATCGATTTACGATTCATATCACTAACCACAACCATGATATTACTGGGCCTTTTCAAAGTGAATTTACTAGTAGATTTGTAGGTAAAGTTTTGTATTGTAATTGTATTATATTAATCATGCACGTATACTAAATTAGAAATAAAGTAAAAAATATGTTATGCGAT